TATATTACTAATATAATAATCCCTTACTTATAGAGAAGACAACCGACCACAGTGAGATGATCCCAATCACTAGGTATTATTATTATTAATTTCAATCCTCATTGAAAGCTATGTTTTATTACTTTTAGAAAGGAAGGAAGGAAGGAAGGGAGAGAGGGAGAGAGACATCAATATCAGTTGCCTCCCTTCTGCACCCTAACCAGGAATTGAACCTGCAACCTAAGTATATGCCCTGACTGGCAATCGAACCCACAACTTTTTTTTAGTGTATGAAGACGACGCTCCAACAGGCTGAACCATCTGGCCAGGGCCCAATCATTAGGTGTTTAAACTTTGGCTAAGCCTTCACTTTTGAGTCAGAACCATTCTCTTCAAATAACCAGTGCTAACCAGTGAGAGTCATGAAATTGTAGTAACAACCCAGGCTCCAACTCTCCCACCCAAATCTGCCATAATCGCCTCCTAACTGATCAGCTTGGGTCCACTCTGACCCCACTCTGGTTCTCCTACAAGGCACCACAACTAGCACGGCACTTTATTTAACACTCCCGTTTCCAAACTTCCATTCAACAGAGGATGCAAAGAATTCCCACAATCTGGTACCTGCCTACTTCTCTAACCTTGTTCTCCTCCTGCTGTATTCTATGATCTAGCCACATGAATAAAAGACTGCTAATTAACCAATATCTATTTTCTTCCTCAGTAATTAAATTCTGAGTTTTAGCTGAATATGTGGCTTTCATCCTTCAAATCTGAGCTGAAATGTTACTCTCTCAGGTATGAGTTAAGTCTTCCTTGACTCCCTAGATGAGGTCAATTACTCTTGCTATTTTTCCCTTACACCTTCCCTTGGATAAACTCACCATGCCTATAATTGCTGGGTTAATGTGAATCTCTTTCAGTATTACAAACTCTTTAAGAGCAAGTATCTGCTCTGCCCACTGTCACCCAAGTGTTTGGCACAGTATATGCCCAACAAATATTTGTTCAATAAACAAATGGATAATGTCATAGCCCTTGCATAATTTCTGGACACACCTTGAGTACTTCCTGGCTTTACCTTACAGGACTCCTGTAAACTTCACCTGTAGTTCTATTCCTGTCTAACAATATCATAATGTAAACACTATTTCTCTACTTTCTCTTTTGGACAATTCTGAAATGTGTCAACTCCTTCAACAGATCCACACAGCTCTTTCTTGCACAGCTTCATTTTTCTTATACTACCTAGGACTAGAGTGGAAAGTATTATGGATATTCTTGGAATTTTTAAAAAATGGAACAGCAATTTTGAGAAAGAAGAACAAAGTTGAAAGTATCATGCTATCTGATGTCAAACTACATTACAAGGTTATAGTAATCAAAGCATCCTGGTACTAGCATAAAAACAGACACATAGATTAATAAAACAAAGTAGAGAGCACAAAAATAAACCCACACATTTCTCTTACCAATATTTTTTTCTAATGTATTCCCTCAGACGAGGGAAACAAAAGAAAAAATAAACAAATGGGACTACATCAAACTAAAAAGTTTTCACACAATAAAGGAAACTAGCAACAAAACAAAAAGACAACCTATTGAATGGGAGAAGATATTCAACAATGATATATCTGATAAGAAAATATGTATATATGTATATATATAAATATGTAAATATGTATATATATATATATATATATATATATATATATATGTCTCCAAAATTTATAAAGAGCTCCTACAACTCAACACCAAAACAAACAACCCCATTAAGAAATGGGCAGAGGTTGCCAAAACCGGTTTGGCTCAGTGGCTAGAGCGTCAGGTCCAAGTTCGATTCCGGTCAAGGGCATGTACCTTGGTTGCAGGCATATTCCCAGTGGGGGGCGTGCAAGAGGCAGCTGATCGATGACTCTCATCGATGTTCCTAACTCTCTATCTCTCTCCCTTCCTCTCTGTAAAAAAAATCAATAAAATATATTTTTTTAAAGAAAAAGAAAAAAGAAGAAATGGGCAGAGGACCTAAATAAATACTTCTCCAAAGAGGAAATACAGGTGGCCAATAGACATATGGAAAGATGCTCAATGTCACTAATCATCAGAGAAATGCAAATAAAACCACAACGAGGTATCTCTTCACACCTGTCAGAATGGCTATCATCAATAAGTCAACAAATAACAAGGTTGGCAAAGATGTGGAGAAAAGGGAACCCTTGTGCACTGTTGGTGGGAATGCAGATTGATGCAGTTATATGGAAAACAGTACAGAGGTTCCTCAAGAAATTAAAAATGAGCCCTAGCCAATTTGGCTCAGTGGATAGTGTGTCAGCCTGCAGATTGAAGGGTCCCGGGTTTGATTCTGGTCAAGGGCACATCCCCAGGTTGCAGGCTCAATCCCCAGTAGGGGCCGTGCAGGAGGCAGCCAGCCGATCAATGATTCTTTCTCATCATTGGTGTCTCCCTCTCCCTTCTTCTCTGAAACCAATATATACATACATACATATATATATATATATATATATATATATATATATATATATATATATATATAATTTAAAAATAAAACTTCAAAAAAGAAAAAGAAATGAAATTGTCTTATGATCCAGCAATTGCACTTTGGAGTATATATCCAAAAAAATCCAAAACACTAATTTGAAATGATATATGCAACCTTATGTTCAACTGCAGCATTATTTATAATAGCCAAGATATAGGAGCAACCCAAGTGACCTTCAATAGACTAGTGCAGTGGTTGGCAAACTCATTAGTTAACAGAGCCAAATAGCAACAGTACAACGATTGAAATTTTTTTTCTTTTTAATATATTTTATTGATTTTAGAGAGGAAGGAAGAGGGAGAGAGTGATAGAAACAACAAGAATGAGAATCATTGATTGGCAGCCTCCTGCATGCCCCCTACTGGGGGATCAAGCCCTCAACCCAGGCTTGTGCCCTTGACCAGAATGGAATTGAGGACCCTTCTTCCACTGAGCCAAACCAGCTAGAGTTGAAATTTCTTTTGAGAGCCAATTTTTTAAACTTAAACTTCTAACACCACTTCAAAATAGACTCGCCCAGGCTGTGGTATTTTATGAAAGAGTCACACTCAAGGGGCCAAATAGCTGCTGTGATACTAGCCGAAACCAGTTTGGCCCAGTGGATGGGGCTTCGGCCTGCAGACTTGAAGGGTCCCGGGTTAGATTCCGGTCAGGGACGTGTGCCTTGGTTTCGGGCATATCCCCAGTGGGGGATGTGCAGGAGGCAACTGATCCGATGTTTCTCTCTCATCGATGTTTCTCGCTTTCTATTACCTCTCTCTTCCTCTCTGTAAAAAATCAATAAAATATATTTTTAAAAAAAAGCTGTGATACTATATACAATGAAATCATTATTACTTGACCATAAAAAAGAATGAAATCTTACCATTTGTGACAGTGTGGATATACCTGGAGTTATTATACTAAGTGAAATAAGTTAGAGAAAGACAGAAACTATATAATAGCACTTGTCTGTGAAACCTAAAGAACAGAATAAATGAACAAACAAAACTGAAACAGACTTATAGATAGAGGACTGGTTGCCAGAGGGAAGGTGGGTTGGGGGACTGAGTGAAAAAGATGAAGAGATTAAGAAGTACAAATTGTAGCTACAGAATAGTCATTGGTAGTTACAGAATAGCATAGGAATATAGTCAGTAACATTGTATGGTGCCAGGAGGATACTTGAAATATCAAAATACTTTGTAAAATAGCTGTACTCCTGAAACTAATACAATATAACATTGAAAGTAACCTGTAATTGAAAGAAAAAAGAAAAGAAAGAAAACCCTCACTCACTAATATGACCAACATTTTCAAGTGTTGGGATGCCTTACAGGTCTTTTTTGTTTAAAGGAAAATATAAAAAACATACAGACCATATTATCTGAATCTGGCCAGGTACAGGAAAACATTCTTAAAATATTTTACAAGCCTCTGGATCACTTTTTTTATGTAGTCACTTTTTTATGGCATTACAAGTAGCTGTCAATTTGCTGCTTTATGTACTCACACTTACTTCACTGACAATCCTACTTATTTTCAAAAATGAAGCACCTTTTGTTATAACATTGTGGAGTTAAATAAAATAGAGTCCCAAGAAGGAGGTAGTGGAGATAAGACCAACGAAAATCAAGAGATATGAGTGACAGGCTCAGTTTTGCCAATGATTTCCTGGCTAACCCTGGATCAGTTCTTTTAGTAACAATCTAAGTTCTCTTCTTAACTCTAAAGTGAAGTGTTCCCTACACCTAATTCCTTAGATCCTTTCCAAGGAAAATATTTCGTTGCCATATCGACTTGCTGTTAATAATTTAATAGAGGTGACATAGGTAATTATGCCAAGAACCATAATGACAAGTATTCACGGGAAATCTGGTATTTACCTATATAAGCTTTGGGCTCAATGAAGGTTTAAGTTAGTCTAAAACATGGTTCTTCAAAGATCTAAAACTAAACGTTTTTGCCTGAGGAGGATGGCTTTTAGAATGTGTTTTTCCAATATATTATTCTCCTCCCACATTTTGTTAGGCGCCCACACTGGATTCAAAAAAAGGTGCTCAGTAAACCTCCCTGGCCAATAAAACAATGGTTCTCACTGGCACTCCCTAGATTACTACACCTCCTTTCCCTTAAGCTATTCTGGAGCCTGATAAGAAAGCTCCATAGAGCAGTGGATCCAGCTTCCGGCACCTGCATTAACAACAAAATGCAAAGGACATCTGGTCTTGTTCAGTTTTTCAGAGCAAGATCTAGTCTAGGCTTTCCACATTTCTATGAAAAGTTAAAGCAATCTGTAGCCGCCTCTGGCGGTAAACAGACTGAAAACACCCATGCAAGTCCCGGCACCCTCTGCTTTCGTTCTCGGAAGCTGTGTGGGTTCTACCTGGCCGCTGCAAAGCCACCGCCCACCTCTTATCGCCCAAGGGGACGATCGCCTTACACCCCCCCTCCCCGCCCCGCAGTCCCAGGCAGCCCTGACCTCCTCGAACTGCTCGCCCGAGCAGCCGGCGCCACGAGCCTCCAGCAGTTCCCGGAACTGCTCCAGGGTGACGGACTCCTCGCCGCGGCCCAACCGCTCCTCCAGCCAGCGCAGCAGCGCGCCGTGGTGCCTAGACACCAGGGACTCGCAGGGCGGCGAGGGCCGCAGCGCAGCCGCCGCCTCTCGCAGCCGGGCCGGCTCCAACAGCGCCGGGGCCGGCGGCAGCGCCGGGGCAGCAGGGCCTGGGCCGGGGGCCATGCCGGGGTCCGTGGCCCAGTCCTGGTGCGGGCCCCAGCCCTCGCCCCCGGGGGCTGCCGCTTCGTCTTCACTGCTGTGACTCGGAGCGTTCCCCATGGGGTCTCCGTCTCGGGCGCCCGGCTCTGTCGCCGCTGCCGCCGCCGCCTCCCCGCCTCGACCTGTCAACCTCAGTACCCGGCGGGCGGGGACGGGGAGGGGACGACGGCGGCAGCAGCGGTGACTTCCGGCTTCCTCGCCGTCAAGCGAGGACGGCTGTCGCTAAGGCGCCGCCAAGCGGACCCTCCCCGCTGTCGTGAGACAGCCACTGTGGACAGCGTCAGCGAAGGGCGGAACTGCGAGTCCCCTGGCCTCCGGGGTCACTATCTTTGTTAGGGGCTGACTGACATCCGGCCAGCCGAGAAGGCCTTTCCGCTGCTCAGTTTCTCGGGATCGCTCCGCGTTCACCGGCTGTGCTGAAAAGGCACGGGAAAGAGTAGAAGCCCGGAAGTGAGCTTGACCTGGACTGCCTCCCGTTCAGCCCTCCGCGTCCCCTCAGGGCCGGGCGGGACAAGAGAGAGTGTGACGCCGGTGACGTCACGGCCCGCGTCTCCGCCATCTTCATTGTGGGCAGAGAGGCAGCCCCTTCGGCCGAGCTGAGGGCGGGCGGGCGTGCGGCCGGCTGTCGATGCTGCGGCCCGGCGGGCGCGGGCTCCTCCTGGGCCTGGCGGCTGCGGCGGCCGCGGCGGTGGCGGCGCGGCTGGTGGGCTGGTGGGGCCCCCGCGCCGGCTCCCGCCTCTTCACCCCCGGGGAGCTGGCCCGCCACCGCGGCGGCCCCGGGGAGCCAGGCCTCTACCTGGCCCTGCTCGGCCGCGTCTACGACGTGTCCTCCGGCCGCAGGCATTACGAGCCCGGGGCTCCCTATAGCGGCTTCGCAGGTAGTAGCGCTGCGGCTCGTGCCCTTTCTTCGAGCTCGGACGCGGGCGGGGAGCCGCCGGTGCGGCGTTCATTCATTCATTGATTCCCTGCTGTTTCCTCCCCCCATTCATCAGGCCGGCGTGGGGCCGGGCCCTGCCGCCGGGCCCTTCCGGTCTCGCTGGCCCGGCGTGACTGTGGCCAGCAGCTGCCGGCCTCTCTTCCCCGTGTCGTTCTTCCTGACTTACGTGGAGAGACGCGCCTCCTGCCTCTTGTTGGTCCCCCATTACCCACCGGCAGGAGCTCCCCCGAGGGGCGCCTGCTTTATGCCACCCTGTGTGGCTCCCAGGGCACAGAAATGAATGAGACCCAGCTGATTCCAGTCTCCTCTTCAATTCCTCCGGATCCGCGTTTCCCCTCAAAGGAGTACCTTTGGTTTGAGTAGTTCTTGCTTCTGGTTCAGATGCACGTGTCTGCCTTTCTTTAAAAAAAAAAAAAAAAAAGATTCTGAGGTTGGAGCGCTGGCCACCTTTTACAGCCCTTCAGTACTCACAGCTGTGTGTATGTTTTGCCTCAAAGAACCCTTGTCAATTTAAGTTTGTCCTGCTGACCCTGTTTTACAGCTGAGGGGATTAAAGGATGTAATTTGCCCAAAGTCCTCACAGCTAACAGGACTTAGACTAAAACCACAAGCTTATTACTTTTAGAGATGTTGCCTTACCAGCCCGGAGGAATAACCATCCCTCGGATTTAAAGAGGGGGGGGAAATGCAGAGCAAGCTTAAGGCCAGTGACTCAGCTGATATTAAATGAGCATTTTCCACTTGATCATTATTTTAGGGAAATTGGGAAGCTGCCTCTGGTACTTAAATACAAGTCACTTCCCTGTTTCTAGGGAGAACTTGAGAGATGGAAGCAGCACAGGCAGAAAAGGAGTCAAGTTCAGTTGGTGTTGCCAAGCTCCTGGAACAGTTGAGCAGGGGAAGGGACTTACCGAGGCTATACAGTGAGTTCGAAGTGGAGCTGGGACCGGAATCAAGGGTTTTAGTTTACCTGCGAGGAGAGGGCACTTTTGGGTGCACTATCCTGCCCCACCCTGATGCAGCCGTCATGGCTGTACCCACAAGTGTGAGCATAAAAACCTCTTCTGGGTGGTATTTCTTCTGCAGGGTGCCCATTATTCATTCAACATCATTTATTGACCACTAACGTGTAGCCTGCCTTGTGCCAAAGATTACAACATACTCCCACTGCCCACACCGTCTAGAAGAGACGCAAATTAGGTTCATTTATTCATTTGTTCAGTCAATCTTTTTGTTACTTTTTATTGATGTAATTCATACAATGTGAAATCTACCCCCAGTAACATGTATAATTCAGTGGTTTCTAATATAGTCTGAAAGTTGTGCAAACATTGCTAATTCCAGAACATTTTTATCGGACCCCCTATAAAAAAAAAACAAAAAAAAAAACACATCCATTAGCAGTCACTCCCCATTCCTTCCCATCCCCCAGCCCTCAACAACTACTCTCCACTTTCTGTCTCGGGGCATTGCATAGAAATGGAGTCATACATGTGGCTCTTGTGACGGGCTTCTTTGACTTAACGTAATGTTTCCAAGGTTCATCCGTGGTATATTAGTATGTACCAGCACTCCATTCCTTTTTTTTCCCTCCTCACCAAGGATATTTTTCCATTGACTTTTAGAGAGAGGGAAAGACAGAAATATCGATATGAGAGAAACACATTGATTGGTTGCCGCCTGTCCAAGGCCCGGGCCAGGGAGGAGCATGAAACCAAGCAACATGGCCTTGACCGGAATTGACCATTTCATCCGCAGGCCAACGCTCTGTCCACAAGCCAAACCCACTAGGGCTCCATTTTTTTTGTGTGTGTGTGTGGTCAAATAGTATTCCATTGTATAGATAGACCACTTTTGTTTGTTCATCGGTAGTTGGAAATTGGGTTGTTCTCATTTTGACCTATTATGAATAATGCTGCTCTAAACATCCATGTACAAGCTTTTCTGTGGGCATGTTTTCCGTTCTCTTGAGTGTAGAATCGCCAAGTAACTCTATTTAAATAATAGTTTTTTAAAAGAAATGATGTTTTGCCGAAACCGGTTTGGCTCAGTGGATAGAGCTATGGTCTGCGGACTGAAGGGTCCCAGGTTCGATTCCAGACAAGGGCATGTACCTTGGTTGCGGGCACATCCCTGGTGGGGAGTGTGCAGGAGGCAGCTGGTCGATGTTTCTCTCTCATCGATGTTTCTAGCTCTCTATCCCTCTCTCTTCCTCTCTGTAAAAAAATCAATAAAATGTATTTTTTATAAGTGTATTAAGATAAAAAATGTTTTGATTTCAGAGAGAAGGAAGGAGGAAAAAGAAAACATCAATGATGAGAGAATCATTAATCAGCTGCCTCCTCACGCCCCTCTGTTTAACTTTTTGAGAAACTCTCAAATTGTCTTCTAAAATGGCTGCACTATTGTGCATTCCCACCGTCAGTGTATTAGAGTTTCAGTTTCTCCACTTCCTCACTGAATGGCTGTCTTTTTTATTATAGTCATTTTAGTGAGTTTAAAGTGATATCTCATTGTGGTTTTGATTATTTGAATTTCCCTAATAACTAATTTGCTTATTGTTCATTTGTATATGCTCCCTGGAGAAATTCTTTGTCCATTTTTTTATTTTTATTTTTTTAATTTTTAAAATTTTTTTTTTTATAAATTTTTAAAATATATATTTTATTGATTTTACACAGAGAAAATTGAGAGGGACAGAGAGTTAGAAACGTTGATGAGAGAGAAACACCGACCAGCCGCCTCTTGCACACCCCCCACAGGGGATGTGCCCCCAACCAAGGTACATGCCTTTGACCGGAATCGAACCCGGGAGCTTTCAGTCCTCAGGCCGACACTCTATCCACTGAGCCAAACCGGTCCCGGCTCTTTGTCCATTTTTTAATTGGGTTGTCTTTTTATTTTTGAGTTGTGAGAATTCTTTGTATATACTGAATGCTGATAAATGATTTGCAAATATAGGATGACCCAAAAAAATGTATACACACTTTGAAGTTATTCATTCCAATGGGTTAAATCTGAAAAAGAATCATCAATTGAGCTATCAGAAAAAAAGTGTGTATAAATTTTTGGGGGCCACCATGTATTTCCCCCAATTCTGTAGGTTGTCTTTTCACCTTTTTTTTTGTTTTTTGTAACTTGATATTTTTTTACATATTTTAAAGTGATTTTAGAGAGGGGAGAAAGGAGAAGGAAGAGAGAAACATCAGCTGGTTGTACATCTCAGGTACCCTAACAAGGACAGAACCCACAGTCAGGAATCGAACCAGTGACCTTGCAGTGCACAGGACAATGCGCAAGCTACTGAGTCACACCCGTCAGGGCTCTTTTCACTTTCTTGATAGTGTCCTTTAAAGCACAAAAAATTTTAATTTTGATCAAGATCAATTAATTTTGTTTCTTTGGTTGCTTGTACTTTTGATGTCCTAGGAACTATTGCTAAATCCAAGGTCACAAAGACTTCCACCTATGTTTTCTTCTAAGAACGTTATAGTTTTTAGTTCATAGATTCAGATCATTGATCTATTTTTATTTCATTTTACATATGGTAGAAGGATCTAATTTCATTCTTTGGCATGTGGCTATTCAGTTGTTCAAGCACTGTTTGTTGAAAAGACTATTCTTTCCCTCTTGAATTGCCTTGACAGTCTTTTTGAAAATCAATTGAATTTCATTCAGTCAATACTTATTGAGAATGCACTAAAGAACAAACATTGAGCCGAAACCGGCTTGGCTCAGTGGATAGAGCATCGGCCTGCAGACTGAAAGGTCCCAGGTTCGATTCCAGTCAAGGGCATGTACCTTGGTTGCAGGCACATCCCTGGTAGGGGGTATGCAGGAGGCAGCTGATTGATGTTTCTCTTTCATCGATGTTTCTAACTCTATCCCTCTCTCTTCCTCTCTGTAAAAAATCAATAAAATATATTATTAAAAAAAAAAAGACACTAAGTGATCAATACTAAAGGAGTTTTGTGTTTCCCTTATAAAATGTGCTGACAAGTAGAAGAGACAGAAATTCAGTAGTTGTCACATAAACAATTAATGAATTATTTTTGTGATGAGTGTGAAAAGGAATACACGCTGCTGTGACCAGAGGCCAGGGAGCCAGAGTAAGGCAAGGTTGGTGGCAGCTGGTACAGAGTTCTGAATGGCTTGTTATGGAATTTTGACATCATAGAGCAGAAGGAAGTCACTGAGAATTTTTAAGCAAGAGAATGACTTGATCAATTTGTGTTTAAAATAATCTGTTTTATGAAAAAGAGATCATTTGGGAAAGAATGAATGTATAGAGAACCGCTAGGAGGTTATTGTCATTCAGATGAAAAATGATGACAGCCTGGACTTGCTTTGTGGCAGATGGAGAAAGGTAGATATAAGAACTATTTAGGTTATGGGATTTGGGGACTGATTGGATGTGAGGGATGAAGGAGATGTCCAGGACTGCATTTCTGGACTGAGCAACTGGTTGCTATTTACTGAGACAGGGAATGCTAGAACAGATGCGAGTTTCCTACGGCTGGGGGTGCTGATGACCATTAGTTGAGTTTGAACATTTTGAACTTGTGATGACATGTAAGTGATGATGCTGAGTAGACAATTGGACAGATAGGTCTGGAGCTCAAGAGAAGTCTGAGCTAAAGATACACATTTAGCAATTTTTGATTTAGAGGTGGTATTTGAAACCAAGGGAGTGGATGAGATTGTCAAGCGGAGGGTGTGGCTGGAGTAGAGGAAATGGACAATAATTGATCTCGGAGGCTGGTAGTAAATGAGCTGGAGAGGCAGGAGGAAAACCAGAGCGTGGTGTTGTGGAAGCCGAGGGACACGGTCCGCTGTCCTGAATGTTGCTGAAAGTAGATGAGAGAATGTGATAAATGCCAAAACGTGTGTCCCAGCTCCACGACCACCTATGACAGAGGAGGGGATTATGTTTGTTTGGGGGTGGGCCGTGGGGTTTTCAGATGTTTCTCAGGAAATAGATTCATGATTTGATACGATGTCAGTGATTTATAAGTCCATTGACTGGAAACATCTCTCCTGCAGGCCGAGACGCATCCAGAGCGTTTGTGACTGGGGACTACTCTGAAGCAGGCCTTGTGGATGATGTATCTGACCTGTCACTTTCTGAGATGCTGACACTTCAAAATTGGCTATCATTCTATGAGAAGAATTATAAATTTGTTGGTAGGTATTCCACAGGCCATTTCCAAAGATTTCATTTCTTTTTCTTGCCATTTTTTAAGGGACTAGAATTCTTTGGGGCTTGGATTCAAGGTTAAAATGTAAAAAATACCTATGGATCTTTCACCTTAAGTTCTAGTTGGTAGTGTGGCAGTGAGTCCCAGAAGGAAATGGCTGGGGCACCTGGTCCCTCAAGAGCCACAGTTTGCCGACCACTGACTTAGACGGTTACAAATTCTGGCATGGATTTTAAACTAAAACCAATTCCCACCCAATATGTCTATAGGACTGAGCAAGAAGATAACAGAGGGTGGCGGGGGAGAAGGCCTGGGGAAGAGAGCATATGCTTGGGCTCAGAACCACTCATTAGTTTCATAGACACCCTCCTCCCCCATCTCTCCTGTGGAGAGGGGAACAATGATTACCTTCTCATAGGGTTATGAGGATTAAGAAAATAGTAGTTTGTACTAGCATTGCACCTGCCACTAAGTAATTGCTTAATAAGTAATTTATTTATAGTTATGTATGACAAAATAATTCAATGTTGGGAAGAATTAAGCCACAAGAATGTTACACAGAATGCCATTTATTTGTACATTTATTGAACACCTACTGTGTGCCTCAGGCACTGTGGAGCATTGAAAATGAATCACATGGCTCCACTCTCAGAGGCCTGATTTCTGGAAGTGAGACATTTTATACTTTCCACAGAAGACTCAATAAGTACAAAAGGGATGCTTCTATCTGGAGTGTTGTAAGATGTTGAAACATTGGGATAGAAGGTGCTCCAAGTCCTCCAATATGAGTTCTTAAGAAACACGAGGCCAGCCCTGGCCCCAGAAGCCCTGGGAAATGGCTGTATTACAACTGCGGGAGAAGCCAAACATCTGCTCCTGTCCCTGCCCACCCCTCCCTCCTCCCCCCCACACCATCCCGCCCGCGGCCTCCGGTTCTGACAGCAGCTCTCCTATCACCACAGGAAGGGTGATTGGAAGGTTCTATGGAAAGGATGGGCTACCCACCTCAGAACTGGCCCAGGTAGAAGCCATGATCCCCAAAGGCTTGGAGGCAAACAAGCAGGAACTGGAAGAGAAGAAGAAGTTTCCACCATGCAACACGGAGTGGAGCTCAGCCCGGGGCAGCAGGTTCTGGTGCTCCCAGTCGAGGTAAACAGGCTTCCCTCCCGCTGCACTGCGCTCCCAAACCCACTCCCGGCTCGTCCTGTGGGTCAGGGAGGCCGTACGGTGATGGTTAACCCGGGGGGACTTTTCAAAATGCATGTGCCCTGGGATAGTGATTCTCCACTTTTGACTACATGTTAGAATCTTCTGGGCAATTTTATTTATTTATTTATTTATTTATTTATTTATTTAAATATATTTTATTGATTTTTTACAGAGAGGAAGGGAGAGAAATAGCTAGAAACGTCGATGAGAGAGAAACATCGATGAGAGAGAAACATCGACCAGCTGCTTCTTGCACACCCCCTACTGGGGATGTGCCCGCAACCAAGGTACATGCCCTTGACCGGAATCGAACCTGTGGCCTTTCAGTCCGAAGGCCTACACTCTACCACTGAGCTAAACCGTTTTCGGCTTCTGGGCAATTTTCAAAAATTACCAGTGGTGGGACCTCACTGCAGGCAACTGGATGAGAGCATTAGGATTGAGATCTGGCCATCTTTTTTTTTTTAATTCCCCAAAGTCGCTGCTGAAGAACCCTTGGCAGGGAATGAAAAGTCACAAGCACTGTTTTCTAGCTTTGGCCTGTTCATTCATCCAAGGGCCTTTGTTTTTCTTTTTTCAGCCCAGACCACTCCTGCCTAACGGAGGGCTGAGGTGGACTGAACCACTTGTGTTGATGCCCTGAGGTGCCTCTTAAGAACTCTGCAAATTCTGAGTAATTCCAGGAGGGACACTAGATGAGAAGTCCTTGGCTGTAAGAATTTAAGTGAGCCAGATTAGAATATTAGATAGGATGTCACAGGGAATATTTCAGGTTAGTTTTGGGAAACTAGAGGGAAAAAAGTTTTCCTGCTTTAATCATCAGGCTAGCCTGGATTTAAATGCAGTTCAAATCCCTCACATCTCCTTTAGCTTTGATAAGGGGAAAGGAGAAGAAACTAGACAAACGCCCAGCCTCGAGGGCCTCAAAGTAAGAGCCCAGATCACTGAGGGTCAGGGAGACCTGCTGTGGCTTATGCAAGAAGGACCACTGTGCCGGGACCGGTTTGGCTCAGTGGATAGAGTGTCGGCCTGTGGACTGAAAGGTCCCGGGTTCGATTCCAGTCGAGGGCATGTACCTTGGCTGCGGGCATATCCCCAGTAGGGGGTATGCAAGAGGCAGCTGATCGATGATTATTTCTCATCAATGTTTCTAACTCTCTATCCCTCCCTCTTTCTCTCTGTGAAAAATCAATAAAAATATACTTTAAAAAAAAGGAAGGACCACTGTGTTCAGTGCTTTGTGTAGATCCACCCTCTTCTGTGGGAGAGGCCACACCTCTTTGCTCTCCTTGAGGCTGATTCCTTGTGTCGAAGCCAGCAGCTTTCTCTAGGCCCAGCCCCATGTGCATCACCTGTTCCCCCCATTAATTCAGGGGAGCAGGGGTGACGGCAGCAGGAAGGAAAGCCTCTTCTCCCCTGGCCACCAGTTTTGCAGAGACAGCCCCTCCAGAGTTGTCATGTCTCCAGAAAGAGGGGCACGGGAGAAGCTGCCTCCCTCTCCGTCCCCACGGCCCTGCCTGTTTTTGTGTAACACCCTCTTACTTTCCTGCCTTCCCCACAAAGCTCTTCCAGACCAACTCCAAGGAGGGTGACCCCATCCCTGTGCTTCAACCCAATGCTTTGTTTCCACGTGTACTATCTCCCTGGAGACTGGGAGGAGGAGTCCTGAGGCAGGGACTGGGTGTGGAGCAAGGTTCACTGGCGATGGGATGGGTGGTTAGAAGGAGGTGGCATTTCAGTGCCCTTCCCTGACAGTCTTGCTCTTGGGTAAGTTAACTGGGCAGCAGCTTCTCTGCCAGCAAATGATTCTGGTCCCAGGCACTTGAACCTACATGGGCACCCATTCCAAGAATCTCATTTTTCTCTGCAAGGCTTGTGAGTCCGTGGGAGGCTGTACCCAGGACTCTGTGAGGTCGGTTTCCTCTGCCCGGACAGGAGGCTGCTCAGGCTGTGTTGGACCAGGTGGCCAGGGCTGCGCCTGGACAAGGGGCAAGGAATGGCAAGAAGTGGTCAGAGCAGGCTGACCACTATGGCTTGTGGTGTTGCCTCAGTTGTCCACCCTACCCAGGTGCCCAACACCCTAAGATCCAGGCACTAGGACAGAGTGGGAAAGGAAGAGAGAATCGGAGCCAGACACTGCTTTGGAGAAGCTCACAGGCCAGTGGAGAAAGCCTTCCACAGGTGTTGCTGCCAGTGCAGGGAGTGCTGCTCTCAGGAAGGCACAGGGCGGGGCCAGGGAGCAGAGCCTGGAGGACGCCCTGGGCAGGGAAGCTGGCAGAAGTTGAGAGCACAAGGTTCAGGGGCTGAACACTGCAGACCTCGCCTTGGGAAAACGTCAAGATGGCTCACTGCCTCCTCCCCCCGCCCCCAGACAGACTCACTAGTTCATGCCTCTAAGTCTCTCTCCTTCTGTCTTCAGTGGAGGCGTGAGCAGAGACTGGACTGGTGTCCCCAGGAAGCTGTACAAGCCAGGTGCCAAGGAGCCCCACTGTGTGTGTGTGAGAACCACCGGTCCCCCTAGTGACCCAGCACCAGACAACCCTACACACAGAAATCGTGGGGACTTGGACCACCCCAACGTGGAGGAATATACAGGCTGCCCACCCCTGGCCACTACATGCTCTTTCCCACTCTAAGCTGGTGCCCTGTCTGTTGATAATGCACAGAGAAGCCCAATGAGCCCTGGCTCACCTGCAGTAGGATGGCTCCTGACATCGAACAAGAGGGCCAAAGAACTCCGGCCTCTGCAAATGTGGCCATGACCCTCACCATGGGCTCACCATTCTGGTGACCGAGGCCAGAGCTGGGCAGCTCACCTAGTACTGGTCAGTCCGTTTCTGCCACTATTCCTCTAGATGTACTTGCCATCCTTTTTCAGAGCCCTCAAATATTAACACAAATATGACCAACTGAAAACTGGACAGACAAGCAAAGGGCTCTAAGCTCCAATCCTTCCCACGGACTCCCAGGCTGCCAGATCAACTGCTGGACTGGTCAGGGGCACTGGCAAAAAGGCACATCACTCTCTCACAACTCAGAAACAAGAGGATACATCCAGAAAAGACCAAAAATGAATGAATGAATGAATGAATGAATGAACGACAACAAACAAATAAATAAGAACGGCATCAACATACTCTCTTCCAGGTGATGGCTAAACTTGTTACCCCTGACTTTTATAACTTTTTTTTTCTTTTGTTAATACTCACCCGAGGCTATTTTTAGGGAGAGTAGAAGAGAGAGGGACAGACAGACAGAAACATTATGTGAGGGAAACATATCAACTGGTTGCCTCTGCACAAGCCCCGACTGGGAAGGAGCCTGCAACAAAGGTCCATGCCTCGACCAGAATCGAACCCAGGACCCTTTGTTCTGCAGGCCAGTGCTCCATCTACTGAGCCAAACCGTCTCAGGCTGTAACCTTTCTTACATGTGACTCCTCTTCCCTAATTTACAACAGAAAGCTGCACTGAGTTGATACCAGCTGAGCCAATATAGTCAGAGGTGACAAAGAGTAGACTAATTCTAGAAATTGGAAAAGCTTTTGCTTATATAGATGCAGCAAATCCAGATGTCTCTCTAAATTTAAAGCAAGGATATTGTTTCTATTTCAAAAACTTAAAATAAGGTGTGGTGTGTTTTCAAAGGGAGAATTCTGCGTTTTTGCGAAAGGTAGTTTGTGCAAGGCTGCAGGTGCCAGTACGAAAAGCCTCAGTTTGACGGTGTCTGGGCTTGCAGCTCTTCCGGTGGGTTGTGTGTCGCGTCAGCACGGCCAGGTTCGGTGAGCCTGAGAGGGGGCGGTGAAGGATTGAGAAAAGACCGACAAGAAGAAAGCTGGGTCTGGGTGGGACGCTGCACTCGCTGATGGAGAGACAACGCCAAGGCCTGCAAGCCGAGTCTTCATTTTAGAGCCAGTTTCCAGGAGGCAAAGTAAGGGTGTGGGTTCTCGTGGGTTTCGAATCTACTCAATTACATGCACCTGATCAAGCTTTGTTTACTTGCTGCACCTCCTGCAGCCCACATCACTTAGCCACGTGAGACCACAGGTTCAAGCTTACAGCCATAGCCTTTGGCTGTAATTGTGCTGGGACTTGCACGTGGCTTTTGCCACGAGAGGACCATGCCCTCATTAGTCCCAGGCTTGAACCTGTCCAAACACTGTAGCCGCTCTCCACAGGCTGTGTCCAAGGTCACTGTAATCTACATTTGGCGTATTTCATACCCATTTACTCTTGGCTTCTTAATGTTGAGTAGACAGGGGCAAGGAGTGTTTCTCCTCATCTGAGCCTTCACCTCCATTCCTTTCCCAGACCCCTCAACTTTATTTTATTTTTTTAATGTTTTTATTGATGTGAGAGGGAGACATAGAGATAGAAACATCGATGAGAAATTAGCATTGGTAGCTGCCTCCTGCACGCCTCCTACCGGGGATTGAGTCCACAACCTGGGCATGTGCTCTGACCAGGAATTCATGGATCAACCACTGAACCACACCAGCTGGACTCAACTCTTATTTTAAACATCCTCTATTCTCCCTTTCTTTCGTTTATAATCAATCTCATTAAATAGCTTTCCAGATTCACTGACTAGCAAATGGAGGCTGCCTCCCCAACAAGGGCAGTCTCATGGTTCACTACCCTTGTGGCCACACCTGCTCCTTACACCGGACTCTGCTCTTGACTCATTTTCCCACCCCAGGATCTTCCTCACCTGCCCTTCCTGAACCTTTAACCTCTCCCTCCCTCAATCCCTCTGCCCTTCCCTGATCAACAGCAGGATAAACTCGGCTTCGCTCTATCCGGTGGCCCCTTTCCTTAAAAGCCGCCTCTCCTCCATGACCCTTCCCTCTAGCTCTTCCCACTCCTTGGATCTAGTCCAGATGCCTTTCCTGAGCAATTCTGTAGGCACTCAGTTCATTTCTGGCATTCCATCTCCTTCTCCCTCGGCCTCCACTCACTGCAGTGTGCCTGCCACGCCTTCCACCTGGAATGATCCCTCTTCCTCTGCTCAGTTTGTCCACCTCTTCTCTCCGAAATTCAGCCACACCGCACCTCGTGGAAGCTTTCATTAACCCTTGGCCCACCAGCTGGCTTTAGATGCACCTTCCTCCACGTTCCCACAACACAGGTTCCAGGTGTTCTCAGATAACAAACCTGTGTTCTGTGACCATGGTTTCCCATCAGCCTCTCACTCTGGACTCCAGCTGAGAACAGGGACCAAGGGCTGCCGGGTCCTGTACCCCTGTGACCTGGAGCACATGGTACGTGTGCAGGTAGCTCGTTCTGGAGGTGAGGCGGCCAAGGTCCAAAAACTTCCTAAGGACACAAAGCAGTGGAGCCGAGCCTAGGACTCAAGGTTCTCGTCCCGACTTGGTTAACTTGGCTATTTTCACTCCCACAGTTTGGCATGCCAGTGCCCTCCCTGGGGCAGAAGCAGGGAGCTGAGATTAGGGCCTTCCTTGCTCTGCATTCCATTCAGCCCCTGAGGCATCTCAACACCAAGCCACTGCCACTGCTCTGATCGCCCTTGGGCATTCAACAAATACTTGCCAAGCACCTGTGCCAGGGAGTGGAGGTTGGGAGGAAAGCCAGGCTCCTGGCCTCAAGGAGCTTACAGTATAGCAGAAAGGCAGGGATTGTGTCAGTGGGGGATCTTCAAAGGATTCAGCAAGAGCAGGTTGTCATTTTAATGGTCCGAAAGGCTTAGCCATGGGAGGTGAGTGGTTCCTGGAAATGCCTCTCCCTTCTCCACAGAGCTGGACCCGGGCAAACTTAGGGAGGAGGGAGGAGTTCCTCTGGTGAAAACCACAGAAAGTTCAGCTCAGGCAATAAGACCTGCTGGCAGAGGGAAATGGAGAAGAAAACTAATACATGTTGGGCAACTCTGCTGGGCAGGAAACTTGATCTGTTCTCATTTAACCTCTAGGCCAGCCCAGAGAGGGCCTCATTTTATAGACCAGAAAGGGGCATCAATCTGCCCCCACCTGCTAACAGTTACAGCAGTCATGGGGTGGCAGAGTGAGTGTTTTACCAAGTTGCTCCCTCTGCCACTGGGCAGTGTGAAAGCAAAGGTGGGGCAATTGCCCCAACAGGCTGAAGGAAATGTAACATCTGCCTTTGAATTGAGATTCGTTTTCTATAAACACAGGATTGAAGAGCCCGGCCTTTTTGGTCACAGCTTCACCACTGCATGACTGTACAGCAAAGGAAGCCGTATCAGACCATCTCCCCATCCCTTGCTTGCCCAGGACAAGCTGTGATCTGATAGAGCCTCACAGACATGCTGGGGCTTCTGTCCAAAAGTCTGCAGCGTCCCTCAAGATTATTCTGGCCGAACCCCTACCTTCGGGAGCACCTCCTACTGCCAGAGCCCCCACATTCAAGCAGGCACCAGACACTGCTCCCATCAGCCCTCACTGCAGGGTACTCTCGGTGTGCACACCAGCTCTATTTGCATGAGAGGAAAGACACTACTATCATCTTCCTCCAGACAACCTATAAGTGAAAAAGTGCCTGGGTCACTTCCCTTATATAGGCCTAGACACCAAGGCACATTTGCCCAATACTGTCAGCTAACTGACAAAGCAGAACTAAAGCCTTACCTGGCTGGACAAAATTGGGAGGAAGTGGATACATACCTGGTTCCTGTTCGTATTCACATAGTATGACCAATGTTCACCTTCAGGGCGGCTAGTAACACTTAACAGTTCCTATTAAATGTCAGAAAAGCCACCAGAGGATGAGGTTTCTCCCCACAGGTGGTCCAAATAAGGGTAAGCAAAATGGGAGCCAGGTAAAGAAAGGGTGAACATTAGTTCAAGGGAGTGTGAGGCCCTATGAGCGACTGGCTTTGTACAGTCCCTACATGTGCTGCAGCCACTAGGTTTAATATGCAAGGCCTAGCCCTTGTTAGCATCCCATGAAACAAGTGTCAGTCCTCCCATCCACTCGGCACCAGCAGAAACCCCGCCGTGGGTGGATCCTCTCGAGCTGCTGCTCCTGAGTGATGGAGCCAGGGGGATTTTCCAGTCCCTTGGAGAACGCCAGTGGGGTCGGGTGACAGAGGCTGCAGCTGTGACCACACACCTTGCCAAGGGCTGAAGCTGGACCAAGAGCACAGTAAATCCAGGCAGCTGGTCATTAGGCCTAAAATAGCTCCTTTGTGACTGCCTTCAACGACGTGTTTCTGAAAAGTGCTAGAAATTCAGTTTCCTACAGAGTAACTGTTAAAGAAGTTTACGTGTCAGGAGTTTTAAAAATGTGTTTGTTTTTAATGCTTATTTGTACTTATGCATTAAAAGTAACTACAAATGTCTTATTAAAGTTTCACTTTAAATGCACAATTTACCCTCATTTTATTATAAGGAATTGTTACAGAAAATGCAAGTATCAATATTTGAAAAATACATTCCATACACGGACTCCAAAGAAACAATGCTGACAAGCGCCATGGTCTGATACAATGCCATAACCCCACACTGAACAGCACCCCTACGGCTTGAAAGCCAAGGTGATCAACCCAAATGTGTGGCTGCAGTTTCTGCCAGTTACTGCCCTCTCCCTTGGTAACAGCCAACCTATACATGGGCCAAGGACAAGCCATCAGTCAAGCAGTCCACCAACTTGAGACTTCCTAGCTACAGAAAATCAATGTTGTCAATTGTAACAGGTTACTACATTATTTATGCCACACAAAAAAGGAAATATACAGGCAATGATCTTCCAAAAAATGTCTTTAAGGCATCTATGATTACTTCGGGGAATTTAATAAGTGTTTAGTAATATCACATGATCAGCTCTTCACGCTATTTCTCCCACAAAAGGACAATGTGGCTTCCAAACCTCTTTGGAAGTTGTTTCCTCTCCGCCACCCCCTCTCCCCAGCTGGGAGGGGAGCTTTGCTGCTCCAGATTAGGAGGGGCTGGGCTTGCAGTGTCCAGATCTTCCAGGCTCGTCCTGAGAGAAGCAATCCCAGGTCCTGGAAGAACGCTCGTTGCAGGAGCTCCTTCACAGTCTCCATCTGTGAACTCCACGTGGGTCTGTTCGCGGGAGTTACATGTAACTGCTCAGGCTGTCACCTGGGGATGATTTTCCTT